AAACACGGGGAGAACATGCAAGCGCCACACTCACAGAGCTGGGACTGGAACCAAACCCATATAAACACGGGGAGAACACACTTCAAGCGACACTTTAAGCCAACCCCTTTCTCACCTTTAAATGGGCCTCCTTTGAAATTCAGCTCCACTGATCCACGTCGGTCCAAATACCCAAACCACTCTCCATGCTCTGCATCAGGAAACTAAACAAGAACAAAAGAGACCAAGGCCATCGGGTCAGAGGTCAGCCATCACGACGGGGGCCTCATGGTCAGCAGGCTGTCACTCACATGGCTGAAGGTGTAGTCGTACACCTGTGTGAACCTGTCCAGCAGGCCTGGCTCCTTGGTCTGGCTGTAGGCCATCAGGAAGGCAACAAGTGCCTCGCAGTGCGGCCACCACAGTTTCATGCTCCACTCCAGCTGCAGGATATTGAGCCACTGTGGGTTACCATGGAAACAGCCCTGGGCGGGGCTCAGTGGTCAAAACTGCTTTAAAAAAATCCAGCTCAACATACAAACTGCCACATGCATCAATCATTTCAAAGCATATTTCACCATTAATCTTCTGTGTGATGTTCCAAATGCCATTTTATTATTAAACCACACAGATAGCTACCACACCCACCTGTGTGGGACAGTGTCCATCTGCATCCAGGAAGTATAACAGGCCTCCATGTTCAGGATCCCAGCCAGCCTTGAACGACAACTCCAGAAACTTGTCCACCGCCACCTTCTTCAGCTCCTGGTCTCCTCGGCCAGCAGCATATTGGAGAAGGAACCAGCCGGCTTCCAGGGCGTGGCCTATATGGTCACATGACAGTCTCCTTATATGGTGGAGATGGTAGAGGATGGTGCAGCTGTCCCACTGACAGGTTTTTAAAGCACACATGTAGCTAAAGTTATATAAAGTCATACACACATGCAGTCATATACAGAGATATAACTCAAAATAACAGTCCCACTAGGTAGAAGCCCACAGAAACACGGACTCAGCTGTCAGCTGGCCTGGGAATCTTTGGGGAGTCCTCAGAAAGAGCTGGGGTCTGTGGCCAGGTCTGACCTGCTCAGCATGCTGCCACCTCTACGCTTTCCAGGAGAAGCAGTGTGCATGTGGATGGATGGATGGACTGATTTTTACACAGCAAAGGATTACCTTCCAGTGATATTTGCACTAAAAATTAGGATTCATCAATGATTTAGTTTCCGACATAGCTGCCTCTTTTTCCAGACCGTGACCCGGGTCGATGTGTGAAAGAGTTCATATTTAATATTTGATTTTTCAATGTTAGAGAAGTAATCTCAACCTCAAATCCTGGGGGGGGGGGCACCTGAGATACATGTAAGCAGAGATCCAACATAGAATTCCAGTGTTGTGTTTATGCAGAGGAAACAGGGCACGGTTACTGATATTGTGTCACCTGGGTTCTGCAGTCGCCCCTGGCAACCAGGCAGCTCCTTCCCATCTGTGGAAACATTCTCCAGAATGGCATTCCCATCTCTCTGTACTGGCAAGACACGAAAACTCCTCATATACAGTGAAACTCCACCTGCGTCCAGCACTATACCATCCACTGGCTTGAACTACGTACTGAAGCTTACACACACTGGCAGACCTTAAAGTAAATGTTTAGCTGGACATGTGAAAATGTGCTTCAAGTGAGTCCCCCCCC